AAAACAACTGGTTAATTTGTTTTTTACTTTGAACTTTCCAAGGGACATGAACATAGAAGGTTTTTTTTAATTGATTCACAAAGTGGAGGACTGTTAGGAGATGATATTTATGTACCAGTACTTGCATTCATAATGTTTGAATACACACAGGTATTTCAGAAAAGTACAATTATTCAATTTTTACCTATGTTGAGCCATCTGCTTCTTCTGCATATTCTTCACATATATAAAAATTGAGTATTAAGGAGTTTGCAACCTTAGATTCTATAAAGCATTAGCAAAAATGTGCTTAAGTCTACTATTCTGTCTGAGTCAAATATCCTTTCTACTGTGATTAGTATTGACTCTTCTTGATTGGCAACTCCTTCAGAAGAAAGAATAAATTGTAAGCCATTGCTTACACCAAATGTTCAGGTGCAGTTAAACTCTATTCTTCCATTCTCTCCCATCTAAGTATCCATCAGTGTTCTCAAACTCAGTCCTCTACAGGTTAAGAACTGAAAAAAAAAAATTAATGTCCCTCTCCTCTTTCTCCTGAATATTAATCTTCAGTATGAAGCTTTATGTTGATTCTAACTTTGTATGTCAGTAGTAGTACTTGTAACAATAATAACATTTCCTACCTGCAGAACTAATCTGGATCACAGTTAAAAGAAAATGCTACAAGTTCATTGGTTATTATTTTTGCTGTATACAAATTCCTTAACACTAGGCTTTCCAACTGTCCTTAAGGTGAAATGATCAAAAACTTTGTGTCAAGGAGCATGACAAGATGGAATAACCCAGGAGGCACACAGAGCAAGCCACAATTCTCACTTACACAGAGGTGTTGAGAAGAGCTCTTGCAAGAGCTTCACAACAAAACAGAGTTAACCAGTACTGAAGAAGGGCCTAAAGCCAAGACCATGTATGACTGACTACATTAGTCCAGATGAACTGTTCTAGAGTCACCAGAAACCCAGGTTGAGGATTAGAGTATATCTTCCCTATAAATGGGCAGAAACGTTCAGAAACTCCATGAAACCCCAGTGCCTAAATTGGCTTAATTCAACATAACTAGTACAGCATAGCTAATGCTTAGTTCAGCATAACTAAAATAACTAGAATAACCTTTCAAGAACAGCTTTCTTTTAGAGTAAGTTAACCAGACTCCTAAACTGAGAAGGCAAAAGTGAGGACAAGAACTCTCCAGAGACCATGGAACATGATCTGTCCTGGATGGACATCATTGCTGCCTTCCATTTCTATGAGGCGTTCAGTCTTAAATTTTGAAAAAAAAACGTTTTTAGAAGCCATTTCACAATAGAGACTATTTGTGATCACTTTCTCTCAGCAGGACAAAGCTGCTGTTTCATCGCTAACATAACCTACCACTTATCTGCAGCAGGCTTTTACAAAAATAGCTGAACTCCGGTTTTGTTTTCTGATTCCCTGCCTTGAAATAAAAACATGTGAAAACAGATATGTCCCCAATTTTCAGAAAGATAGGATTTGGCAGTATAGCCAGACTCTCCTTGTATATATATATATACACATATATCTATATCTATATCTCAACACTCATGGTGAGCATAAAGAAACATGCCATCTGCAGCATGTGTGAACATACACACAGGGGATGACATTAGAGCTGTGCATGGCATTTTCAACCAAACAGTTTTTTGGTGTTGGAAAGAATGTGCAAGAGCCAAAAACATGGATATGGGTCCAGCATGGAATCACCAGTCAAATTTAGATCAGTACAAGCAGTTCCATGAACCTAGAGGAAGTGCCATTAGTATCAGGAATCTGCCAATATGGAACAGATTTGTTAATCACAGAACAGAGGCTGCAAAGGAGCTCAACAGCAGTGCAACAAAGACATCTCAGTAAAGATGCAGAGGTACAAATTCCAACCTTAGACCCATGCTGAAGCCTAACCCCAGTCAATATGGTCGTATAAAGTACTTCATCACTCAGACAGTGAAGTGGGAGCCCCATCACACCCCCTGAGGTATTGGTGACCCTAAACTTGCCATGCCTAAGCCACATTGACCCTGCTAGGCCATAGACACCGAAGCATTACTAGGCACGGGCGGACTGTTAACATTGTATGGCAGGTGAAGACATTCCAATAATTCATTTACTGAGTTGCAGGCATAGACAAATAAGAAGTCATTAATAACAAAATTGCTATGAAATAATTTAAATAAAATAAATAATAAATAAAATAAAAAATAAATGAAAATAAATAAAATAATTGAAAAATGAACAGCAAGATTCATCACTAAAAGAAAAAGGAAATCAAATCAGAAGTAGCCAACCACCCATATCCCAGGGAACTTGTAATAACAGTGTTTTCTGCAGGACATATTAGTTAGAAATTCAGAAAAAATGTAAAATATTTTATAATTTATATGATATATACATACCGCTGAGTATGAGGAATTCTTGCTGCATGAAAAGCCAGCAAGTGGCACCTCATTAAACAGGACCTAGACTTAATCTAACTTGGAACAGATAAAAAAGAAAGGATTCATATGAAGCTATCCTGCCTGGGGGTTTAATCTCAAAGCTTTCGAGTATAATGAATGAATTAAGTAGGGCAAGTGATTAACAACAAAGAAGCGATCACATAATAAAAACAGAAATAGTACTGAATTTAGAGCAATGTTTCCATTGTTTATGGACAAGACCCTGCTGTGCTATTTTTATTGTTTTAACTCTTAAAGAATAGGCGAACCATATGACAGCACATGTTCTCCAGGTTCAGATGGAAAGATGTGGGAAAAGGCCGCAAGCAGAATACCTAATGGCGCATAAATAATGGACTGTTCGGATATCAATATTTGTATCATTATGAGAATAAAGTTCAGTCTGTAGGACTCGCCAATATTTTAAAACATATTTCTCTTAATGATGTAAGCGTGGAATAAACACCATCAAAATTATGATGCTTTATATTACTGGCATGTGCTACAGCTTGTTTGCCCATCAGCCGAAGCGGCATGAGGCACAGTTAGAACAACGCGACGCCACTCGGAGCTCAGCGCCTGAGCCTCCAGCGGGCCCCCCACGCTGCCTGTGCAGGCAAGCAGTGGGAGGCAGCACTGCCTTTCCTTGCAAGCTTCCTGGCTGAACTAGGAACAAGCACACATTGACAGATCACAGGGCTTTGTTTGGGCTTGTGCTTTTATGGCTGGTGTAACTCAAATTAAGCTGACTGCCAATTAATGCAAGCCAATTCCCATCAGGGTAAATATGAGGTGTCGACAGGTACAAAGCAGTGCCCCCCTCCCCTCAGCTACATCCTAAGGTAAATCATGAAACACTATGGAGAGTCCAGGCTGTCAGTCTGAATCATGTTATCTAGACTGCTCTCCTCTAGACAGTTTCTTGCATTGCGTTCTTCACCCCCACTCTAGCATTACTCAGTCCTGCTTAAATTATTTAACTCATGTTAAAATCACAAGCTCTAGTTTAGGGAGATCCTGAAGGAAACCCCCTGAGCAGAGGTCAAGATAACTCAGGGCCAACAGTGAGAACACGCAGGAGATATCTTCCTGGCATAGCAAACTCCCAAGTTAGCCTGTGCGACATGAAGGACAAATATCCTATAGACTACCGCATGCACAGATAATTGCTCCAGAGTGAGCTAGGCAGTACTAGGTCAGCACTTTGCCACCTGTCTTTACCTACACAGGCTGAATTTTCTTGAAGCAAGAGAGCTTAATAGTTCTTCCTGGGTCATCGGTTCTTCTCATAGCGTGTGTTGAGCAATATAATCTCTTCAGGTCTCACACACAACAACAGACAACATAAACCATGGTACTATGGTGGCCAGCAGATTGAGAGTTGTGATCTCTTGGATGCCTAAGTGAAACTTCAGAACACATAACAACCAAATAGCGTATTTTCTTCTACTAAATGAAGGTACCAGTGCAAATAATGCTTCAGGGTCTAACAGGTATCAAACAAATTGTACATAATCCTTCTCTCATGGTATTAAATGACAAGAAAGAATATATTTTTCAGTGAGTTTTCTTTTGTTGCCTTCACAAACAAATGTAGTGTATACTGAAGTATGTCTAACAGAGGGATATAAACACAAGCAGCTTTAAATTTGAGATTTCAAGGTGGAGATCACTAGGGAAAAACCCAGATCTTCTCAAGGCACTTGATTGGCTCATAAATTTTGCTTTCCATTCACTAAAGCTTTCAGGAAAGAGAAAGAGAGGATAAAGGCTGTAATTGATGGTACAATGCCCACAAGCCTCAACAGATGTGATTCCTCGTAATGAAGCATGTGGGCCTAATTTGGCATTACTTACTACCAGGAGGATCTTATGCAGGGTATCTTTCTAAATCTATGTTTGGTTGGCACCTGTGCCTTGTTGAAACTGGCATAGCACCTTCTGAGTGGGCATAATGCCATTCTAGCAGATGGGCATGAGAGCCGATAGGATGCCAGAGATCTAGTATTGCATTTGCAACAAACTTAAAGTAGCAGGGTCTAGGGTCTCATCACAGGACAGCTGAGGTGGGAAGACACCCCTGGAGATCAGCCAGTCCCACCCCCTGTTCAGAGCAGGATCAGCTAGAGCAGGCTGTGTCCAGTTGGGTTTTGAGTTTCTCCAAGGATGGAGACTCCACAGCCTCCCTGAGCAATCTGTTCTGTGTCTGACCACCCTCACAATAAAAAAGTTTTTTGTTATGCTTGAATGGAATCTCCTGTATTTTAGTTTGTGCCCATTGTCTCTTGTCCTGTCACTGGGCACTAATGAGAAGAGTCTGGCTCTGTCTTCTTCACTGCCCCATCAGGTATTCATACAGACTGATAAGGTCCTCCTGAGCTTCCTGTTCTCCAAGCTGCAGTTCCAGCTCTCTTGGCCTCTCCTCCTATGACAGATGCTCCGATCCCATAATCATCTTCATGGTCCTTTGCTGGACTCTCTCCAGTAAGTCCATGTCTTGGACTGGGGAGCCCAGACTTGGACACAGCACACCAGATGTGGCCTCACCAGTACTGAGTAGATGGGAAGATCACCTCGCTTGAGCTGCTGGCATTGCTCTTCATTGTGCAGTCCAGGAGGCTGTTGGCTACCTTTGCCACAAGAGCATATTTCTGGGTCATCCCAGAGTAATGAACACAAAGTGCACACCTACACAATTCTTAGGCCTAAAATAACTCTGAAAATCTAAAAGCATCCTGTCATGGTCCTGCCAGGAGGGGAGATGACCAGGGAAAGGATGGTGAGCCAAAGAGAGAGTACACCTCACACAATCCCCAGAAGGATATACCAAGAGGTGAAAGGAGATGCCTGAACTTAGCTTGCTTCCCAGCTAAATACATTTCATATGAAAGTCATGAACTACACCTCAAACTGGAAAAAAATGATAACTGGAACATTTCTAAGCAGTAGAAGTGCAACCTATGGATCAGACATCACTGAACAAAAATAACTCAGCTGATGCCAATTTACAACAGCTGACAACTAGATCTGGTACTTTCAAACAGCCTAATGCTTTCCTCTGGTCCTTCAGACCATTAACTGATTAGCTGTCAGGTGCAATGGCACCTCCCTGTAGCACCCATAAAAGAAGCAATTTAGTCCATTGGGAAAATAAATACCAGATATGAGCCAAATCCTGTTTTGTTGGGAAGATTTAACAACTAAATTAATACTTTGTGGTAGATTTACTTTTTTTTTTTTTTTTTAAGGAAAAAGAGAATTCCTTATTTGATTTTAAACCTCTGAATCTATGGGCAGAATTTTCATGCTATAGGTGCATTTGCATTAACTGACAATAACTTCACTGTGTTAAGTAGAGTGATGCAAGATGTGGACCTAGCCCTCATCCTCATATATTACTGCTCAACTTCATGAATATGTGAGTAGAGAGCGCTAGATTTTACTCTTTTTCCTTGTGTCAGTGTTTGGTTTGGTCGCAGTGCAAGCACCTGCTGAAGCAAAGAGAAGACCACTGGAGCAATAACTTTTATCTTTGGGTTATTTGTTGTTTGTTTTTTTTTTTTTTTTTTTTTTTTTTTTTAACTAGTCCTTGGTGCAAAGGACACTCCTCTGATTGAAATTCATCACCTGAGAGAGGAAATAATACATCTTGGATGACAAAATGGTTTATGAATGGTATTCTAATAAAACGTTGCACCAAATTCGCAAATCACAGAAACAGCATAGATTGAAGTGACCCCGCATTTTGAAGTGTATGCATAGTGATTTGCATGATATTCACTGTGTTAAGGTTGAAAACATTATTAACATCTTTGCTTTAAACCTAACAGACCAATTTATTCTAACTGGCACTAATAAAATGAATCATTAGCAAACAGGGGTCAGGGGAAACCACAGCACAGAGAACATGCAGAAGAATAACAGATAGTTCAAGAAAAAGGATTAAATCTACTTCAAGCTGGCACTGTACAAGTGGCTCATCAGAACATTATTCTAACAAATGTAATCTACAATATACCAAAAATGTAGTCATCTATTATGCTCGGTATTAAAGCAAAATAGTACTTAAGGAAAGTGATGCTGAAGAAAATTATATTAGCTTCTTGGATCATCTTTAATGATACCAGATATAAAGTATGATATTTATGTGGTCATCTTCTTATCTTCTAAAAATATTCTTACACCAATTAAAATTGCAAATTTTAAATCTGTATTTTGATTTGCTAGAATTTTTGTATTCAAGATTCAAATTATTACCACTTATTTCCAGCATGATAAGCTAATTTTGCTGCCTTTGCCTTTATGTCTTTAGTTATTTGTTTTTAAAACTAACCTGCAATGTTGATAATTCCAGAAAGACAGAGGTTGCAGTGCATTTTGTTATAGTACAGGCTTGATCTTTCCTGCTGGATCCAAGTCTTCCAGAATTTTCAGTGGTTTTTAAGCCTCTCATTGTGCCATAAAGAAAAATATAAACCATTTGCAATTGAAAACACACACACAATCACACAACACAGGGAGATAAAATCAAAGAGAAAATAAAGTTGAATGTTCTGCAAGAAGTCCTTGGACAGCTTGGAAGCTGAACCCAAGTTTGTTGTGTCTCAACACACAGTATCATTTCTTCCTCTAGACCACCATGAACACACCTACTGACCTTCGCATTTGACTTCAGTTTTGACATTGCAAAGACACAAATGTTCTAAGCTGTTGATTGTACAAATGTTTAGAACTACTTCATATAAAGAAACCCAAACTGTCTTCAAGGATAACATCCAAAGATATTATCAGCATTAATTTTATCAAATGAAAGTTTTTGCGTGGAGTATCTGGGAGGAAGCAAAGCTCTCATAGATCGTATATTGAATAAATGAACATTCAAGCACAGTAAAGAACACTGAATGAGCCAGATTTTCCTGTACAGGTGCAGAAGTAAAAAGTTAGATGCTGTTTTTTTCTCTCTCTCTAGCTCAAGTGTATTTATTCCATTTTTGCACGCTAGTGGACTTCCTGTGTACTAATATTTGCTACTGAACACAGTCCTTAAGAGGGTTTGGTTTAAATACCCAAACCCATGAGACAGTGTTTCACACTCATAATGAAACAAATACAATGAAAACAGAATATGTAAGAGCTATAAGGCATCAGCAGTCTACAAAAGGCACTATAAAACCAGAGAGACAGCAGAATTTTGAAAATAGCAGATCTCCATTAGGATAATCAATTTAAACTCAATGATAATTGTACAAAATACGGTAATTTTAGTCTCTAACTGTGTGTTTTAAGCACCCTTTCAATTGCTATGAAATGGAGAGAAAGTCAGTGAATTAAATCTACTGCGAGAAAAATCTCTGCTCTTACAATACTTGGCAAAAATCTGGTACTGGATGAAAGCATGTTAGACTTCAGTTCAGCATGGATAAGGCAGAGGTAATGCTGGTTGGCAGACGAAAGTGTTTTGAAGAATTGGCAAGGTCTAAGAGTACTCCCTTGGCTGAGAGCATCTGCTAACCCATGGTGAAACCACTTTATAATCTCAGGGCTGCACTCCTCCTTACTTCTGGGCTTCAGCTAGAAAAAGAATCAAATCAAACACTGCTATATGATTCTCTAATCAACAGGTTATATCTTTGCCCCTCAGATTTGACCTCTGTCCAGTTTACTTTTTGCCATTTTTGCATCAAACTGGATTTCTAACTCTTGGCTATGGTTCAGTCCTACCAATAGCCTTTGGCAAGAGCGGGCCAGTGCTGCTCCCTGGGAGCAAGGGAGCCCGCTGAACACAAAGCTACACCTGCGTTCCCCCGTCCCCCACCCTGCACCCAGCAAAGCAACATTTGCACCACTGTTCACAACCAACAAACAAAAAGCAGCAGGAGCACAATAAAAATAAGCAGCTGTTTAGCGTTGGATTCCTTTGTTTGAAGTTTACACCCAGTGACACACAGGCCTGTGGTGCGATGCTCTGGTGCCTGAGGGAGCCTGCTTCTCTTCTCTACTCTACTCTCTCCCAAGTGTTTTTCTCTCCTCAGTCTCCCTCTCACTGACCCATGGACCTGCTGTTTCTATTTCTGAGAAGGGCTTGGACATAAATGTTTAGATTTTGTCATGTCCACACCTTTGAGGAGTAAGTGCTCCCTTTTGCCTACTCCCACTGGGCCCCTCGCACTCTCAACACACAATGCAGATTGTGCAGAGGATACCACATCATAGCAAGTATTTAATAAAAATATATATATTTTAGGTGAAGTATGCATGCCTCAAATAATTTTGACCTAGATAGAAGCTGCTTTTATTAAGTTGCCACATCTATTACCAAGGAGAAAGAGTCAAGTAGGCTATAGTATTCCATGGGTTTCTTTTTACAGGCTTTGCTCGTAAAGGAGAACTTTTGAAATATTGTTCTCTCTCATCAAAGAAGATGAGAAAGAATAGGATTAAGGTGAAGAGAAGGATTTCTTTGAATAGGGATGATATAATTACACATTTTCCATGACACATGCTGGAAAATGTAATATTGGATAATACAAGTAACCCCAAATTTTTCATTGTATTTTAATAGAGAGTTCTCTTTTAAGATTTTTATATTATATGCAGTATATAGTTATATGTATAGACACTTCTCTCACATAAAAAGAATTGAAAAGGAATCAGACAAGAATAAACTCTCCTCCCTAACCACTAAGGAAGCATGATAAAGAAGGACAATATCAGATTAGCTACAAATTTTCCATCTCATTGTTTCCTGAAAAATAAAATTTTATAATGAACATACTCCATACAAGCTGTGCAGAGCAAATATCTCTTCCAAAAATGCACAGAGCAGTAGTAAAAATCAAGCATGGACTCAACGACATCTGTTGTGGCATTGTTATCAAATGCCATCTTTTTTACACAAATCTATAACAGTCACTACTTTTTTTGTGTGGAAATATTAGTTTGTCTGCAGCATCTAAAAGTTGGCACACGAGGACCGACAGATGCTTTGGTTTTACCTCATCTTCAACTTACTTGGCTTCTCATTACACTAGCTACAGCTCGGCAAATTATTCCTCTGCTTTGGAAAGCCGACAAAATGCCATCTGTCTCTGCATGGTTATCAAAACTAATACTGTAACGTGAAAAAACTATGAACTGAAATTGTACCTGGCAACTACATGGTGAGGTCGAGTATCCTGTTAGATTACTCATATACACAAATTTCAGTTAGTGGACACCCACCTATCCCACTGTGTGCTCAGCCTAAGGAACAGTCAGTCTCTGACCTTTCTTGTGCATAACTGTTTCTCATGCCATTGACATTGACTGACACTAATTATGGCTTAGAATGCAAAATGAGGTAGCTTCTCACCAACTGAGACTCCAAGGTCACTATGATTAGAGTATGAGTAGCTTTTGGTTTTTCTTATAAAAATGAGAGGCTGAATGCCTGGAGGAAAGAGGTGGAAAGGTCAAGGAAAGAGAAAGAGCAAGATTACATCAGCGTGGTTCAGCATGTAATCAGGTTGGTCCAACAGCTACAAGATTCATCACTAAGGCTTTAGGGAAGAGAAAACATGAACAAGGTGTCATTAGATAAAACAGAAAAGAACAAAAAGGTATGAAAAGGCCTGACAGTCCTACCCTTAATCTGACAGAGAAGAAGTAGACATCCTCAGAG